CAAACACCGTGGGGGCCCCCGCCCGCCGTACCTAGGATCCCCCTTCAGCAGTTTATCATCCCCAAACTTGCCATTTCTCCCTAAAGCCTCATCCCCAGCTGTCCTTGTGATTAGGCTTTAGAAACCCATTCCTGGCCATTTTTGGTGCGCGTCCCCCTCTTGCCACACCCAGACCCCCCTGGCCAGAAGGAACCATTTAGGACATGGGCTCTGCCACCACTCCCTGAAAGCTGCACCCCATGAAAACAGCACTGGCCGGCACTCAAAAGCCCCAAGTGCATGGGAGGACCCATGCCAAGGACCTACAGTGCCCTACGGAAGGAAACAAAACCATTTGAGGTACTTACTTGGACTGGGTTTGCTTAGTAAGGTTCTTTATGGTCAAGCCCTCCTTTCCTATGATCGCACCAACAAACTGCGTGGGCACCAGCATCCGCAGTGGGAAATCGAGCTGTTTGGGCTGTGAGGAGCCCCCCGGGGAGGAGCCCCGCTCCCTGGAAGAGTGGCCCCCGCGGCGGGATCGCTGGGGGGGTGGAGGGGAGCTCACCTCTTCATCCGGGATGTAGGAAATCTTGAAGGAATAGTTCTCAAACTGGTGGCCGCTCAGCTTCTCAATTGCTCTGCAAAGCAGGGAGAGGCACTGTGGTCCCTCCCCAAACCTGCATCTTCCTCCCTCCCCAGTCTGGAGAAGGTGGCCACAGGAAGCCACAGTCCCTACTTTCCCTGTGTGGAGCAAAGCCCATAGTATGGTGGGACGATGTCCACTCCCATGTGGGCGATGCCAGGGCTGGCACACAGCTCGTCCTCCCCTGCCATTTCATCCAGGGAAAGCGCTGGCCAGAATCTATCAAACAGCGTGGAAAGACTCTCGCGGGCTTTTTGGACATAGAAAAGGTGACAAAAAGGCTCCAAGCAAGAGCTGCTACTCCAAGGTGAAGGATGCAGCACATGGTGCCCCTCTGTGGGGAACCCCAACCCTCCTCCCCGTTCTGGTGAGGCTGGGGGTGCAGCACCCGGGCTCTTCATCCCCCCAGGCACCTCCTCGGCAGTGCGATGCTCAGCCATGCTGGAGTCTCTGATGACTTCTGTGAGCAGCGGTGACTTCAGCCATACTTCCTGCCTCTTCCTATCACATCTCACTTTGGTCATTTATGAGGTGACTGAATGCACCACTGCAAGCAGCTCCTTGCCGGGCCCAAGCATCACATCCAGCAAGGACTTCTGCAGCTGCACTGTCCTGGTCCAAAATCACTGCAGTTCCCCAATGTCTGATTTCTCTGCCAAAGTCTTCTTTTCACCTGTTCCTGGCATTCTCAACCAAACACAAGTACTCACGAACCACCCCGGCCTTTCCTCCCATCACTTGCTTCTGCGTCAAGCTGCTGAGCACCACCCAAGACAGGCATCAGCCCAGCTGGATGTGACCGATCACAGCGTTTTCTCTAACCATGAAGCCTCTTACCCCCAACCATCAAGCACCGCTGTGTTGGTGAGACTTTGTCTTCCTTTCTTGCCACACATCCCAAGACACAGCAGCTCATGATGCATTTATCCATGGTCCACAGCACTTTCTCCAGTCAGCCAAGGCCGGAGCACACCCAGCATGGCCACCCCAACAGGCACAAGGAGGACTCTCCTCTGGCCTCCTGAACCAGCAGATCATTCTCCCCATCTTTGTCCTCAGTAAGTCCAGCCTTGTGATGTGTCAACGCAGATGGGAAGTTGCTGGAACATCCATCAGCAAAGGGACTCAAATTAAGACATGGCCCATGTTCAATGGACACATATCTCTGCCACCATCCTGTACAGCTACGGCTTCCTGTCCCACGCTGTTCCCACCACGCAGCACCCTCCCCAGACCAGAACAAGGCTCACATTCCACTGTGCACTGGGAAATCCTGCTTTCGATGCACATCGACTCAGCATCAACAAAAACCTCCGCAATGGGAGTTTCGCCATCGCAATCCCATCCCTGCGCTGCAGTGCCCCTGCGGTTGGATGTTAAGCTACAGGACACGGAGCTGCTCCCAACTTGGCAACATGTGCACTTGGGAACCAGCCTGAACTACCAATGGCGCCTGTGTGGATGCGGCTCTTGGTCGTATCAAAACTACCCCGGCTGCTAAGCACAGGATGAGCTCAGCACATACTCACAGCTAATGGCACTGGTCTCTGGCACGGGCTGAAGTCTCTACAAACCTTGTAGCAAAGTGAAATAGTCCTTGTGTTTCTGAAATAACCCCCAATTTGCAGGTTTTTTTCCTCTGGTGGCTATGATAAATCTTTAAGCACGTCTTCACACAGCCCTGCTGTGCTGATGCACAGCCTGAACGGGTTCTTCCATCCTTTTGAAGTTTTTCTTGATGGATGCCACTTCTTTACAACTCCTCTGCAGAACATGCAGTTGAATTTACCCTCTGCTGCTCTCCTTCCCTTGCAGAAACTGGCCATGGACCCCTTGGCTCCCTCTCACCTCCTCTTACCCATCCACCCAAAGGCAATCCAATCTCTTGTCCATGGCAGAAGAACTTTCCAAAAGCCCTTTAGAAGCCGAGTTCTCTGGGCTCCAGGAAGCAGGAGGTGACAATCTCTGAATATTTTGGTCTCCAACTTGAATTTTTGCCAAGTGGCGGGGGGTACTTACATCTCCCATCACCACAGCATTTCTTCGCCATCTCTCCCGCCTCCTTCACCATATTCCACCTCTTCAGCAGCTCGGGCTGGGTGGTCGGACTGGTGATTAATCCAGTGCAATCCCAGTTTAGGTCTGGACTTCCAACCTGGGAAGATGACTCCTTGACAAACTTGCTTATCTGACCTGACCCTCAGCTTTCTAGAGCGCTTTGCTCCCTGAAGACAAGGCCACTGTGACCCTGCAGAGGACCTTGTAGGAAGGACAGTGTCCCAAGGGAATTGCAAGATGGCACATCTGGGAGCCTCTTGGAGACAAGGGGAGAAGGCACCAAGGAAGAGGGGACAACCACATGGCTGATGGCCCCAGGCTGGTCCAGCGGTGCCTGCGTATGTATGATAGGGCACCACAAGAAACCCCATCTCCCATGCAAGGGGAGAAAGCAAGAGACCACCCAAAAGTGGGATGAAGAGGCAAAGGTGGAGCTGACGGCTGGCAGATGACATGGGAGGTGACAAGGTAAACCCAACTCAAGATAAACCCAACATCTGCCTGCTGTATCTCAAGAAGATACACAGACAGCCCTTAAGGCTCTTGAAGCTTCCACTCCAAGAGCTTAGAAACAACCCAAGGAGGCTTAGGAAGACGACAAGAAGAAGGGTGGAAACACAGCTGGGGGAAAATACCAGGGGCTCCTCGGGAAAAGTACAGGGGGGGTGAAAATACGGACAAACCCACTTACACTTTTGCTTCTTCTTTAGTTGCATACATTACGTTGACAACGGCCGTTTCTGTGTCTGTGTTGACTGGGAGGAAAAACAAGAGAAGGAACATTAGAGAAGGGGAGGAGAGAGACGCTGCCACTGCTCCTGGCCCCCCTGGCACACCCCGAATTGGGGATGCAGGTGGGAACGCTGGGAGGGTAATGCCTGTCCTGTGCATGGGATATGCATGGGACATGCTGAGACGCCTCCGGCCGCCATGCGATTCTTGTGCACCGCTGTATTTTCCCCCAGCACAAGGATGGGTCTGGGATAGCAAAGGACCAGAAGGTGCCAAGGCCGTATCCTGCCACCCTCACCAAGGAGGATGCATGGCCAGACACCACTGATCCACCAATGGACCCCAAACACCAGTCGGGTCAATTGTGTTTTCATTTGCCAGCAAACAGGAGAAGCCCTGGGGATGGAGGACTGATGGCCACCACCATCCCACCACCGGATCGGTGGCCCCACCTCTGCCAGCGGGGCTTGTATCCACAGGGAAAAGCATTTTAGCCCAGTACCAATGACTGGAAAAAACAGTTTTCACCCCACTGGGTTTTCTGGAAGAGCTGGGGAGCAGCAATGGGACTTTTGCACAGCTAAGGACCATGTTTGATCATCTTACCTTGCTCTACATTCTCCACTGTCCCATACTGAGCTAAGAGGCCATCCAGCACCTGGGGGAGAGAGCAGCAAACAGGGCAGGTGAGCAGGCAGGGAAGAGCCTGCTGCACCCACAGACACCCTCCAAAGAGCCAGCGACACCCAACTGCATAGAATCATAGAATCGATGAGGTTGGAAAAGCCCTTTAAGATCACCAAGCCCAACCATTCCCCTACCCCTGCCAGCCCAGCCCCAAACCCTGGCCCTAACACCTCCTCT